TGCAGGTGACACTGAGCTGGGTGGAAGTGCCCATCTGCTCCAGGGGAGAGAGGCTCTGCAGAAGGACCTGACTGACGGGTCATGGCCAATTGCAGGAGTTTCAAGAAGGCTACATGTCGGGTCCTGCCCTGGGGCCAATCCCTGCCAACCCCCGGCAGCGCAACGGGCTTGGGGAGGAGTGTCTGGGGAGCTGCCCAGCACAGGGGCCTGGGGTATTGTTAGGCTGGACCAGCTGGACGAAGAAGAGCCAGCAGTGTGCCAAGGTGGCCAAGAAGGCCAACAGCATCCTGGCCTGTACCAGCAATAATGTGCCCAGCAGGACCAGGCAGGGGCTCCCCCCTGTACTTGGCCTTGGTGAGGCTGCACCTCGAGCCCTGGGTGCAGTTCTGGACACTGCAGGACAGGAAGGACATGGAGGTGCTGGAGAGGGTGCAGAGAAGGGCAACTGGCTGCTGAGGGGTCTGGAGAACAGGTCTTGTGAGGAGAGGCTGAGGGAGCTGGGGCTGTTCAGCCTGGAGAAGAGGAGGCTGAGAGGAGACCGCTCTCTACAACTCCCTGAGAGAAGGCTGCAGTGAGGCAGGTGTTGGCCTCTTCTCCCTTGTGACCAGCCAGAGGCCAAGAGGAGATGGCCTCAAGTTGCTCTAGGAGAGGTTCAGATTGGATATTAAGAAAAATGTCTACACTGAAAGAGTGGTGAGGCCTTGGAACAGGCTGCCCAGGGAGGCGGTGAAAAACCCTCAAGGTGTTTAAAAAATGGGTAGATAGGGTGTATCAGGAGATGGTTTAGATGGTTGTAGAGTGAGCAGTTGGACTTGGTGACCTTGATGATTCTGTGATTCTCAGACTGAAGTCTGGAGGAGGAGGAGGAGCTGATGTCTGGGTCCTATGAGCTGAAAGGGAGGGATGGGGAGCAGAATGAAGCCTTTTCAATTAATTTTCTGCCTTTTGGGGTTTGAGTTGTTCCTCCAACAACATGGCAAGTCGTGTTCTAGAGATGACAATTCTTTCAGTTTTATGGAAGTGCTGGAGACCATTGTCAGTGTTTGACTCAGGATCACCAATTAAACCAGAGACAGTCATGCTTTTGATCCCACCCCACTCCCATCCATGTAGGGAAGGAGAGATAAGATTATGGAGAGAGACTTTCTGGATTGAAAACTAAACTAGACAGCTTGAATTAAATACTAATGACAAACGAAAATGTGTACAAATATATAAAACTATGTGTAGGAATTTGTGCAAAATCCCAGTCTCCTCCCCCCACCCCAGCAACTCCCCCAGCACCTCCTGAGCTGTGAGCAGCTCTGAAATGTCCCGGAGCTGCCAGAGAAGCCAGGAGCTGAGGGGAGAGTGATGAGGGGCAAGGATGCGCGAGCCTGGGGATAAATGGAGATGGATGGAATCCTCCCTGGATGCAAGCCATGAGAAGAGAAGGGGAGAAGAAGCAGGAAGGGACTTGACTTCTCTGACCTTACACTGAGCTTATGTAGGCAGATGGAATGGAATACTTTGGTCAATTTTGCTGCCCATCTAGTCCCCTCCTCCCCATGGAAGGGTTACAGACGTGATTCTTTTGGTCCTCTAGCATCTGAGGCCACAGATTCAACAAGAAAAGCAAAGTGACCTTGGCATCTCAGCAGTAACATAAACATTCCAGCACTATCAATTCACTAGCTGGAGAACTTATTGCTAGTTAAAAGGGTGATCACCGAAGAAAAATGATCAGTAAAAGGAAATATGCCTTCATCCTGGCTCAAACCAGGACAACCAGGTCAGGTTAAAATGCCCCTAAGGTGCATGTGGGTATTGGCAGCCCTGTGGAGAAGGAGCTGGGAACACTGGATTGAAAGACTCCTGGAACGGTTAGGGTTGGAAGGGGCCTAAGAGTGCATCTAATCCAAAGCCCCTGCCATGGGCAGGAACATCTCACACAAGTTCAGGTTGCTCAGAACTTTGAACATGGACATCTCTGGAGGTGGGGCAACCACTTCCCTGGGCAACATATTCCATTGTCTTGCCACCCTCATCCTCAAATATTTCTTCCTTCTATCAACTCCCAATCTCCCCTCTTTCAGTTTGAAGCCCTGATCCCTGGTCCTGCCACCACAGGCCTTGGCAAAGAGCCTCACTCCCTCTTTTTTCATGGGCGGGTGGACTCTGTGATCTTTCAGGTCACTACAAAGGGAGGTGATTCTGTGATTCTTACCATTTGACCACCATGTCTTCACCTGTGAGAAGCGTGCAGAGAGCCCAGGGATCTCCCAAAATGGGCTCTGGAGAACTCAACCCCTTGGCCAGTCTGCAGAGGCTGAGGACCCCGGGCGCAGGGCTGTGCAGGGGTGGGCAGGAGAGGAGTGGCCTGGGAGGGCCTGGAGGGTGAGTTCAGACAGGCTAGAGATTTTCTCCACCACAGAACCAGCTTGTGCAAGAAACAGTGCCTCAAATGGAACTAGGAAAGTGCAGAGAGGACACCAGGAGAAAGAAGTATCACTCAAGGGCAGGGCTGTGGTCACCACCTCACCCAGCAGGAGCCTGGGTCAGCCCAAGTCTCAGTGCAGGGAGAACAGAAAGATGTCAGGAAAGGAAGGTGACAGCAAGGTGTGGAAGCTGGGTGGAGGAGCAGGGACAACAGGGCAAAAGGTCCAGAGGATAGGAAAGTGTAGGACAGGCCCTCGTCAAGATAACAGAGGGATGTGGAAAAGATGGAAGCCCCCTGACAGAGCCAAACTCTTCCTGCTTTGCTTCAGACATCTATCTCTGCCACTGCTGCCCATGGGGAGAAACTGCAGCTTCCAGGCCTGGGGTCTCAGAGCCTCCTTGTCCTTGTGAATGGGCTGGGGAGGTGTTGAGCCAGAGTCCTGCCCTTGGCCTTGCACAGCTCCACATCCCAGTGCCCCAGGGAGAGCTCTGAGGGGTGAGTGAGGGACAGGATCTGCCTTCCCAGGGGCTGGCACCTTTGGTGAATGGGACAGGGCTGGGCCCTTTGCAGTCATGAAACACACCCAGGGTCACTCAGCACCAGAGACCGTCACCTTCCTCTTCCCCACCTGCCATCCCTGCCTCCTCCCCACCTGCCATCCCTGCCTCCTCTTTCCTGCTCTACCCACACCCTGGCGACGCTTCCTCACTTGTGTCCCTCACTGGGACCCATCAGCACTGACAGAAACTTTGCACTTGGGCTCTAACTTCTGGAGAGGTTTCATCAGCTTCCTCTCCCTGTCTCAGCTTCATGGGCTCAGCAGCAAAGCCTCCAGAGGGCTCCTTAACGTTCTGAGCTGGGCTCCTGGGATGGAGGGAGCTGCTGTCAAGAGAGACAGCTCTGCCCAGGAGCAGCTCCTCTGCTTGGTGCAGCAGGGAGAAGGGCACTGCCAGGGGGTCTGAGGGAGATGAACAAGGCAGAGAGAGCTTCAGGGTGGCCACGAGTAGGGGGATGAGTGAGAGCTCAGTGGAGGAGACATCTGTGCAGCCCTTGGCATGGTGAGTCTGTGGGTGCAGGGCAGTGTGGGTGCAGTTCCTGGAAGCATCTCCTCAAGCTGGCACAGCCACAGCTTATGGGATCTGTGAGGTGTGTCAGGGCTTTGGTGTGGGTGGCTCTTGTGCCCTTTTGGATCTTGGGGAAGGCAGGGATGCAGGCAGGAGTGCCCAGGGCTGTTGTCAGAACAGGGTCCTGCAGCTGAGAGGCGGTGTGCTGGGGCAGGGGCTGTGCTGCCTGCCAGGAGCAGCTCTCAGCCTGCCTGGGAAACTCCTCAAGGACTGTGGAGAGAAGCTCTGTGTGGAATGAGTTGTCCCTGGCAGGGCAAGGACAGGTCCTTCTGCTTCTGAGAGGGTGCTGTGTGGGTCAGGACTGCTCAGACCTCCAGAACACCCACAGGAAATTTGCAGAGGGTCCTTCTGAAGCAGTACAGAGAGGCAGCATTTACCTGGAAGAAAAGGAGTCTGTGATTGGAGTTCTCTTCTCTTGCTGAGCTGGGTGGGCAGTGGGAGATGAGAATTGTGCTTTCCACTCTGGAGAAGGCACTGAGAGCCCAGATCTAATGGGGACTGAGCTGCTTCTGAGCCCCTGCACAGCCAGAGACGCCCCTGGCAGGTCCCTGCTCCAAGGGGTGTCTTCCAGGCAGAGCTGAACACCCGGTGGGTAGGATGGGCTCTGGGAGCCCTGCTAAGGAGGCACATGGAGACAGAGAAGCAGCTCCCAGCAGAGACAGCTCCAGGCAGCAGAGACATGGGCAGGGAGGGAGAGGGAACTGCTGCCTGAAAGTCATGGGAAGGGGTATCTGGACTCCTTCCTGCCATCCCTGCAGGGCTTATGCCTTCCAAGAGCATGTTCCCCTCCTGCCCCTGTTCTTCTCCTTCTTTTCCTTGGCATGGGGGGGTGATGATTTGGGTGCAGCTCAGACACTGATGCTAGGTGTCCTGTCCTGCCATTGTGTCCATGGAGGAAAAGCTGCACTGTTCTCAACCATGTTCAGTTTCTCCTCAGGAGAACATCTGTGTCTGATGGTCCTGCAGCTGAAAGAGGTGCCAGCTCAGTGTAGCTGAGAGCAGGACTGACGGACAGACGAGCTGTCCTCACTCTGCACTAAAGGACAGTCCCTCTCCTTCTCAGCACCTTCAAGGTTTCACCTGGAGAGTAGTGGGAAGGCCAAGGCTTCTGCCTTAAAATCTCCTCAGGTGTGGTGGGGAAACTAGAGCAAAAGCCACATACCAGAATCCCCTCAGCTCTGCTCTGCAGTCGGGTGAGTTACAAGTGAGAAGATTGAAAAGCTCTTAGATTTCACCAACCTGTGATCACCCCTTCTTGTTTACCTGTGACTGCAGGGCAGGGCTCACAGCTCATCATCCAGAACCAACCAGATTGTACAAAAAGGACCTGCCGAATGACTTCAGGAAAGGCAAGAGGCAGCTTGTGATCTTTTAAGAGTAATTAATATATTTTTTTGCCTTGACTTCTCCCTCTTCTTTTTTTTTGATGGACAGGTCTCCATGCCCAGAGGCAGCAGATGTCCAACAGCAGCTCCATCAGCCAGTTCCTCCTCCTGGCATTCGCAGACAGGCGGGAGCTGCAGCTCCTGCACTTCTGGCTCTTCCTGGGCATCTACCTGGCTGCCCTCCTGGGCAACGGCCTCATCATCACCACCATCGCCTGGGACCACCACCTCCACACCCCCATGTACTTTTTTCTGCTCAATCTCTCCCTCCTTGACCTGGGTTCCATCTCCACCACTGTCCCCAAGTCTATCGCCAATTCCCTCCGGGACACCAGGGCCATCTCCTACTCAGGATGTGCTGCCCAGGTCTTTTTCTTTGTGTTACTGATGTCAGCAGAGTTTTATCTCCTCACCATCATGTGCTATGACCGCTACGTGGCCATTTGCAGACCCCTGCACTACGGGACCCTCCTGGGCAGCAGAGCTTGTATCCACATGGTAGAAGCTGCCTGGGCCACTGGGTTTATCTATGCTCTGATACACACAGCCAGTACATTTTCTCTGCCCCTCTGCCAGGACAATGTCCTGGGACAGTTCTTCTGTGAAATTCCCCAGATCCTCAAGCTCTCCTGCTCACACTCCTACCTCAGGGAACTTGGACTTCTTGCTTTTGGTCTTTTGTTAGGATTTGGGTGTTTTGTTTTCATGGTGGTGTCCTATGTGCAGATCTTCAGGGCCGTGCTGAGGATCCCCTCTCAGCAGGGAAGGCACAAAGCCTTTTCCACCTGCCTCCCTCACTTGGCCGTAGTCTGCCTATTCATCAGCACTTGTGCATTTGCCTACCTGAAGCCCCCCTCAATCTCCTCCCCATCCCTGGACCTGTTTGTGGCAGTTCTGTACTCAGTGTTGCCTCCAGCAGTGAACCCCCTCATCTACAGCATGAGGAACCAGGAGCTCAAGAATTCCATTATGAAAGTGATTTCTTCATTGGTCAAGACTGAGAGATTTAAAGCCTCTTTCCATAAATGACTCCACTTTATGTCATTCCATTTATTTGTTTGTTTTTATTGTGGGTTTTTTTCTGTTTGCCTTTTTTTTTGCTTTTTTTGGTATTCTGTTCTGTTGGGATTTTTCTTGTTTTTCTTTTTTTTTTCCTCTTTATTTTATTTATCATTACTGCTGTTATTATTGTCATCTATGATTTTGTTCCCGCAAAGATGTATGCACTTGTGTCGCTACAGCTGAGACACATACCTGCTTTGTTTCCTCTTGATCAATTATTAAAATTTCTAACTCCTGCCTTGAGTCCTTGGCTGTCCAGGAACCCAAATTAGCTGCTCTGCATGGCATCTTCTCCCCCAGCCATGTCACTTGCACCACTCAGCTCTCTATGTCACTGATACAGATATTAAACAGGACTGGTCCCAGTACGGACCCCTGAGGGACACTTGTCACCATCTCCATCTGAACACTGAGCCATTCACCACTGCCCTCTGGGTCTGACCAGCTAACCCATTCCTCATCCACTGAGCAGCCCACACATCAAATCCTTCTCTCTCCAGGTCAGAGAGAAGGATGTTTTGAGGGACCACGTCAAGGGCCTCACACAAGCCCAGGGAGGTGACATCCATGGCTCTTCCCTTCCCAATGATGCAGTCGCTCTGCCGCCCTATTTGCAACTGGCCTTAGAACTTTGAGCACACACCACTGGCTCGTGGGACACTCCT